ATAAAGAGTGGTTCCATTGGTCAAAGTTATGGACATGTACAGAGATGTTCTGTTTTTTAGTTAATTGATGGATGACGTCATTTCCTGAAATTCAAACAGTGAATAACAAACATGACATGATGAATTTTATTGAAATAGATCAATTGAAAGTAAAAGCTACTATATATCTATTTTTGTGTATCAAGCATTATTTGAGTGACGGGTTTTGAGGAGTGAGAAGCACGAGTCTCTGCCATTCTAACAAGTAATGCAGTATAAACCTAAATAAATATTCAATAACTACTGTCTTGTATCATGATCCAATTAAGAAGTTTACAATTCAACAAGTATATTTAATTGAATATTCGTTACGAAACAGAAAAAAATTCAAATGAAATACATGTACAATTTCCCCATCGTGTGACAAATCTTTTCCGTGCAAATGTGTATGGCACGCCAAATTCACAAAAATGAGTAAAACCTAGTTTCACAATTGATAAACTAGGTTTGTCGACTGTAAACTATAGTTTACAAACCGTAAACTATAGTTAACGATTCGTAAAGTATAGTTTTCATCTGTAAAACTATATTTAACGGTTGTTAACTATAGTTTACGAATGCTAATTTAAGTTTATCTGCCTGTAATAAAGCGTGAACAATAGATTTTGTTGATAAACAGATTCACGTTTGTAAACTATAGTTTACAATTGTAAACTATAGTTAAGAGTTGTTAATCATAGTTTTACAAATCGTGAATCTATATTTATCAGATCGTTAACTATAGTTAATGGTTTGTAAAGTATAGTTTACAAATCGTGAAACTGTATTCATTAGATAATATATGTTTTGCAATTGCAAATGATTGTTTTCGGTGTTAAGTATAGTTTACGGTTGTGAAACATAAATTATCGCGTTAACTATGGTTTACAGATGTAAAATATAGATTAGCGTTTACAGTCCGTAAACTATAGTTTACAACCGATAAACCTAGTTAATCGACTCTGAAACTATGTTTAGTCCATTTTTGTGAATTTGGCGTGCCATAAATGTGCATAGCTCCGTTGACAGTCATCAGCTTTTACATGAACGCGTTAAATGACGTGAAAGCCATGGGGCTCACAACATTGATTAAGACTGATATGAAATGTCTTTTATAATCATCGGAGAAAACTTTACGTAATCGCAAAAGTGTGATTATATCGAAATATCCGTGTAATATGACGTAATGGAGAATTATTGAACAAGGATCTTCATTACAAACAAATGTAAGGCATCAGTGCTAGAATGGTAAGTTTAAATCTGTTTATTTAAAAAAGCTTATTTCAACGTTTGTTATCCTACAGTTAGGTCAGTTATGTTATGCAAAATGGATAAAATATTTAACCCAAACAAATTACGTGTTACAACTTAAATTAAATTTTAAATGTTTTAAGCTAGTGTGTTGTATTTTATCACTCTAAAACTATCCGCAACCTTTAAAGACCCCGATTTTTACAAATATTTAAAGTTACATCAATGAAAATGAAATATATCTGACTTGGTTTTCCATAAGAAATATTTTGATACATAATAAGGCATAAATACAACAGGAAATAGTTACAAACTGTAACTACGAATTCAGTTTGAAAAAAAATCATTTATATTATTGTATAAATGCTTGAATTGTCAGATACTATTCTTTGAAGACTTCAAAAACAAGTATGATGAACAAGGGATTTTTAGGGTGCTTTACTTGCTGTTTTATTCAGGCTTTCCACATCTATATTGAGGCGCTACACTGCTAAAATAGACTTAGATGATAATATACTTCAGGAAAACCTGTTGATTCTAATGCTTAGCAATGTGTTGTCCAGGGTGTACATGCACTTACTTTGGTTTCAATTTTCAACGATAGCAATGCAGAGTTTACACCGGATGTCATTCAACTAATTCAGCAGTACCGGAAGAAGAATGGAGACACTTTATTCCGGACTATGGAGGAATTACTCGTACAAAGTTCTTATTCTGAATGCAATTGAAGTATCGTATGAGTTTAACATTTTTTGATCCGAAAACGTTAAAAATAAGAATTTATCTCAAGCAGTTCAATTTCTGAGAATCTGGATATACTTTATTTTGGTAGAAAAAGCATTATTGAATCAAATCTTTGTATATTAGTAGGCATTTTACTTTAAATATGGATAAAAGATAGAAAATGTTAAACTTTATATTGTAAATTATAACATAAAAAGTGAATGTTCTTTTGCTAACCGCTCGGCATTAGACGTGAAAGTCACGGGACTGTCGGATATAACATTAAAAAGTAGTCAAAATGTAACCGTAGGCGTTGCACAATAAAGAACCCTAACCGCTCAATAGCCCTGAATGCCGAGTATAGATCTAAATTTGAAGCCCTTTACAGGCATAGGGTGATTTCTATGGATGATTCCATATTTTTGTTTTAAATTGAGTACTGTCAATTTTTTTTAAATCTAATTTTAGACTCTGATTAGACCTCTGATTACCAATCTATCGATTGATAAATTGCAAAGTTTCGAAATACAACAAAAAGTCCTTCAAACACCACATACAAAGCTTATATGAATAATTAAAAAGTTGTTATTTTCTTTTTTTCCATGAAATTTTTATCAAATTTGAAGGTTTTTCAGTGATATATTTGACAATCAATTGAATGCCTCGTTGAGTAAAAAGAAATACTTGTAAATTGAATCAACGTTGGACTTCAAATAAAAAATTGCAATACATTAAAAAGAAATCTTAGTAAATATCTATATGTGAAACAGGATCGTAAAACGCTCTCGTATATTATGCCAAGTACTCTGAGATAAATAATCACTAAAAAACTAAATCTGACTGGTCAATTGACCGCCGAATTGGGTTTGTTCGTAGACTTAACGGCTGTGCAAATAGTGGTATTTTGGATTTGGTATTTGGTACCAAGGCAATTGATCATAGTGTCATTTGATATAGCTTTATAATCGGAGTATGTATACTTAATATGAAGTTTCTATCTTTCAAGGTTTAACAGTTATGGGCCAGGTTAAAGTTGACAGCAGACAGATAGAGAGACAAACAGCGAAAAAAAATATACGCCCCGATCTATCGATCCGGCCGCATAAAAATAATAGAAAAAGATTCTTATTATCATTCAATAAAATACCTACAGAAAAAAAGAGATTATCTTTACTTTTAGTCCAGATCTATGTCTAATGTTAAAGCATATTTATTCTCATTTTCAAACATCCTTGTGTAACAGCACCTTATCTTGCCTCATATTTACAGGGTCCCTGTATGATATTTTTTTGGCAGTTAGGTGCGCTGTTTTTCTACCTTCAACATTCAAATTTAAAAATTTATAGGCGGATTGAAGACTTTGTAAAGGGAGGAGTCAAGAAGTCAACTCAATGTTACACCCTAAAAGGATTTACACCCCTTTTGTTTTGTAGGAATAAAGTCCTACAAGTGGTAATCCAACTTATACTCATAGTTACCTTTCTAAGAAAGAAATGATTCAAACGCAAATGACAGTTTTAATTTTTTTTAATATCTCAAAGAATCTAATTGAATTTGAAATACAATACATGCATATATATTGGATTCCGAAACTTCAAAAGAATCCTTACAAACAAAGGTGCATAAAGGATTCCATTAAATGTTTAACTTTCTCTTTCTTTCCTTTAGTAGTGAAGCAGAAACGTAAAAAGTACTATGCAACAGTATATTCAGAAAAAGTGCAAATCAGATGTGAATACTTTAACATTCCATGGAACTGTTGGACAATTTGAAATTATTAGAGTTTAGCAAACGCGAAAGCTTAAAAAACGTTTGCCTAACTTTATACATAACAATTCCCCACGATAGTTAAAATCCAGTCTGTTTGATATCTTTGAAAGCAGCTTTTTCAATAATTAAAAAGAGGATCTCAAAATTTAGGTACCACGTCATTGGTCATTTGCAATATTATTTTGTAAAAAATCATTCGGATTGTAAATACAAGTACTCAATAAAAAAAAATAATAAATTGAGTAATAAGCATTATATATAGTTTGTCATTACACACTCGGGATGCCTTTTTACATTAATGTTATTTAATCTCCACACGTCATAAAGTCTCGGACGTCTTTTGAGTTAAATGAGGATTTTTCATCATAAGAGTCTCGTTTGTCTCTCTACCATCCCTAATTAATGGATTTCAAGGATCATAACAGTATCCCAAAGACCACGGGCCACTGAGAAAGGCATCCATGCAATGACAGTCTACTAACACTTGCATATGGCGTTTTAATATCCCCTCTGATTTAGGCAGCAACAGAAATTTCTGAATCACTGTAGAAAATTTTTTGTAAACCGAGACAGGATATTAAGAAAGAACTTTAAATTTTTATGGTCTTTGACTTTCTTCTTTTAAGTCAGCATTTAGGAAATTTTATTGTTTGAAGAAAATGACCATTTTTGTTATTATTTTCTTATTATTAAACTTTTCGAAACAAATTCTAAACCTACACTTTGGGTTGAAGAAAACAATTCTGAAACCTACTTATCGTCATGTTCTACTGTCAATGACATTTAAACGTCATGTTACAGAGTCAGCTAAGTTTTATAATCACGTGACACAGTCAATGAGCTTAATCATCATGCGAGTCCCCTTTATATCTCCGCCTGGGGAAATAGACTTGCATGCTCTTGGGAAACTGGAATCTTGCTGACTCCATCAATGATGTACTTTAACTGTTTTTATTATACAGATATACATGTGTATTACATGCAATTTAAGCGAGTTTCATTATGAATATTCATAATGTTAATTAGGAACTTGAGGTCTCGGTTCTTTTCATATGATAAAAAAATCACTGGGTTCTCCAATTACGTGTGTATCAGTTCGTCAAACGGACACACTTTTTTTTCCAGGGAATCAGTCCTTTTCCCGTGTTTTTTTTTCAGGAAATCGGCAAGATATATATCACTTTTCATTCATATGGTGAAAAATCAGTAGAGGCATAATAATAAAAGATATAATACAGTCAGTGTGGTTTTATCATCATGAGGGTCTTCTTTACACCTGTGCCTAAGCTAACAAGCGGGTACCAAGGATTATTCCAGGAAGTAGAAGACCAGGCACCGTTAAGGAAGGCGTGACAGCAGGCGTGGAACCACCAGCCTCCTCCTCCGAAACCAATGGCGCAGTGATATCCACTCCATCTGTCGTTATCCCTGTCTTTTGTGGAGAAGTACATCCCAGACAGATCTCCACCAGTACTCCCCGAGTCTAACATACTGTCTCCTGTTGAATAACACAACATCTAAATTAAGGGATATAAGGTATATGGCGCACTTATTGTCACCACTGAGATCTTAGTTTAGCTTAACTAATATTTTACTATACATGTGTTTTTGAAGCTAAGCGTTTTAATTGATGATTTAATTTCTGATTAATCCAATGTAATTATCGTCTTTAGAGCTTGATAAAATGACTGTCCATCCGATTTAATTTTACTTTTTGCATGTACGAGTAGACTAATAACTTAATCTAAACTAAAATATGTGATGAATTACAACCTTACGAAATGCGTTCGCAGTTTTCAAATTTAGATAAAATAACTTCTACATTTTTTTATTTACCGGTAGATATTATTTTTCAATACAATGACTCGAATTTCTCCCACACACAAACTTTACTACTGCTGTAGTAATTGATATTTCAAACTCTATGATAAACGTGATGACTTTAATTTTAACTTTCCTTACTTCTGAAGCATTGTTTAATGGACGTTTTCAAGATCTTGAATATTGTTCGTTATTTCCGTTTGTTTCATTTTAAAATTTACGAATGGATTTAAGATATCTCAAACTGATTTAAAAGACGACCCACCTAAGGTCCCTTCCGTTGGTCCAGCAAGGTAAAGTCTGTATTTATCTTCCTCGTTGTTTACAGAGAATTCCCCGTACTGTTGATATAGAGTGGTTCCATTAGTAAAAGTAATGGACACGTACAGAGAAGATTTGTTCTTAGTTAGTTGATGGATGACGTCATTTCCTGAAATAAAACAGTGGATATCACAAATGGCATGATATATTTTCTTGAAAAAGGTTTATTTCAAGTTTATAGTTATATTTATTTTGGTGTTTCCTGCATTATTTGGGTGAAGGTTGTGAGGAGTGCAAAAATAAAATAAAAACAACAACAACAACAAAAAAAAAAAAAAACATCTGCCTTCGCCCGAGTATTGCAGGACACACCAAAATAAATATATTGTATCATGGCCAAATTAAAATGTTTACATTTGAACATGTGCATTTTTTATGATTATTCATAATACAACATCCATATTTCGATGAAATACAATTATCCGGTCGTGTGACAATTTTTTTCCGCTGCCCCGTGCAAATTATGCATAGCTCGGCTGACAATCATCCGAAATGGATGCTTTAAATGATGTGAAAACGATAGAGTTCCAGACACTTTACCTGGCCTAGATGCAGAACTGTAGCTCTCTGCTTGAGAAAATTCGGACAGATAAAGCAGAGATCTATAGATCTAAGCGTTGTAAAACCCTACGGTTTAAGCCGACGATTAATCGGCTTTCAAATTGTGAACGAGGGTTTACAACAAATTATGAAAAGGGGGGTGTAGGGCGAGGCAAAAATATGTATCTTAAAGGAACTATTCTGGTTAAGAACGGCATCTTCAATATTACTCAGGTGAGCGTTATGGCCCATGAGCCTTTTATTGGCAGATCTGCGGCGCATTTACTATTTTAGACTCGATATCTGTGACAAAGATTAGATACAAGTATATGTATATATATCTAATAAGACGAAGTAAACAAAATAAAATACACATATATATGTATACAATTTACCTATCCAATAAGACGAATGTACAGAACCAAAGCCTTCTTTGTATTCATTCCAAGTTCTGTTGAAATCCGTTGATCCGTCAATACGCCTCTGTATAACCTATTGTATAAAAAAATACCATTTAAATGATTTCATCAATTATTTATTTATACAATTCTATCTGTTATAATTTCAATCAGTGATAATAACTTATTATACTGACTGTCCAACCTCCATCTTTTATATCCATATCACAGTAAACATCAACTGAACGGTTGTACCAGGGATATATCGTATAAAGACAGGACGCAGTAAAACCGTCAGCAAGCAGACTTTTACAGTCCATAGGACGAATGTTCTTTAAAACTTAAGAAAAAAAAGGAAGAGTTAATCAAACCTAGATATAAAGTATATAAAAGAAATAAATTCAAGAGGTGTAAACAATTTATTGCAATAGCGTAGCATTTCATTTTTTGATTTTTAATTACAATTACTTTATACCGCTAAGTCTTTCACCAGCTCTAAATCGTATTTAAATGATCCCATACCAGCACTAGAGACTGAAAATGAAATTCTTATAATTAACTATCCAATATAATCAAACATATATCTCTCAAAAGTTAAGGGATATATGTATTTTAATTTAACCGTCTTTTAAAATGAAAATTATTTGCGTAAGCTTATGTCTTTTTTCCTAAAATAAGTATCAATTGTTTAAACAAAAATTAATTTTCCATAAACTTTAAAAAAAAATCGTGCGAACTCAAGACTAACATTTTCTGATTACAAATCTAAATAATAAATGTAGATCTGTTTCATAGATTTGTTGGTTTATATAGGTAATTTCCGCTTCATTTAAATTTTATCCATCTGAAACGTTGTGACAATTATTTTTTGAAGTAAAGCAGAAAAAAGATACCTCTTTAATTTCCACCATTATCAGAAACTGTGTAAAAGTGCATGCATCAAAATGAATTAATTAATATCTAAAGAACTTTGGATTATTTTATCGATCATATTTATTCTCACTGATGCTTTTTTTTCAATTTGAGGATGATCAGATATGAAAAAGTAACCAAGAATTATTAACTAAGTTAGATTATTTTCAGAGATATCCTGCTCACAAATATGACATTGCGTAAAATATTTTACAGTAAACGACATATTTCAAGTAGAACTTCCGTCGTATGACATAATCCGTATGACTTCTCGGTTTCATTATAAATTGAAGGAAATACTGCATTTTGAAAATTCATGATTCAATTTAATATAAAATCATTCAAAAATCATGTGAATATTTATATTGAATTTATATATTTTTGGTTATAAAGCTTAATGACAATACATTTCTTAACTTAGACAAATCTATAGGTACCTTAAATTTACTATATCTTGACCTTAACCCCTTTCCTGCGATCACGTATTCTATAATGAATATACAATTTCCTATTTTATCGCAAAATTCCGCATATACAGTTTCCCCGCAATCGCACATTTCTCACGAACTTTAAAATGTACAATTATTTCTTTATGTAATGCCAATTTCCTTCCATTTCAAATTTGCTAAAAGTTCATAAAATAAGAAAAGATATTTTCTTAGTAAAATACCAGGTCATAATATTATTTACGCTTAACTTAAGAGAATTTGCTTGACCTTACTATAAAAAGCTTGCAGGGAAATGGTAACGTCATATTTCTATGACTTGAATATAAAGTGTAGTTTGCATAACAGTTCAGAAAGTTGTAAAGAGTAAATTAAGTGGATAAATTCCAGACTTCCTTGTAATGAAATTACAATGTATACAACTAATTGTGATAATGTGAATGCTATAAAACTATCTTCAAGGAATGCAGAAATCCTAACAAATCTTCAGTTGCCATTTAAAGAGTATATCTTCATGAAATGTCTTTTAGTCAAATTTATAATGTAGATTTTTTGTAAATGCTGTGATGTCTATCATGAAAAAAATTGTGCAATCCGTTTCATAATTATTTGTTAATTTTCATGTATTTTTATTATATTGGTGTTTAATTACAATTTTTTCTAAAAAATATGATATCACAATTTTTTGTTTAATGGAATAGTGACTTCCATATATCACATGTGTTTTTCTTGTGATTATACCTTTCTTCGGGCTCAATAAAATTTAACCGTTTGATCGTGACCTTGGAGTTTGACACAATTTACAACTAAATCTACTTAGGCCATAACTTTTGTACGGTAGCTACGAGGACTTTGAAACTTCACAAATGTAATCTTTTTAACAAGTCGTTTCATTGGAAACCAGTATCAATGACCCTTCAACCTTGACCTAGGAATTTATGTACTTCAAAAAACTTATACCTTAGTCATAACTTTTGAAAATGAAAATGCTCAATTTTTACATTGTGCTTGATCTTTTTTAAAAATAATATCAGTTTTTCTGATAGACACCTCAATCAACAATATAAAATTTCAGGTCATTACATAAAATGGCTCTGAAAATGAATCTCGGTAAAAAAAAAATCAGAGTTAATCCTATCTGTATATTTAATTTTTAAAAAATGGATGATTGTATCCGTAAAATAAAATTGCATGCTGTATATATTTTCATTTTTTAAAAATAATTGTCTGGATAATACAAAGATTTTGTTCAATAATACTCTTCCAACAAAATTTGAGACTTTCCGACTTCTAATGAAACTGCGTTTGATTATAATTACTTATTAGTATTTTAAGGTATCCAATAAAAATACTCACTTATACAATACGTAAACTGCATTCATAATAAGTACATTGTACTAAATTACCTTCCGTGTCCGGAATAAAGTATCTCCATCCTCCTTCCGGTCCTGCTGAATTAGTTGAATGACATCCGGTGTGAACTCGGCATTTCTGTCTTTGAGAATTGAAACCAAAGTAAGTACATCCTAGACCACACATTGCTGAGCACATAATCAGTGAATAAGCTTCATATTCAGCCAATAGGTTTTCCTGGAGTATCTTATCGTCTAAGTCTATTTTAGCTGTGTAGCGCCTTGATATAGATGTGGAAAGCTGGAAGAGAAAAGGGAATATAATTCCCCAAAATCCCTTGTTCATCATTGTTGTTTCTGAAGTCTTCAATGAAAATTATCTGATATTGCAAGCCTCGATGCAGTAAATAAACTAATTATCTTTTTTTCAAACTGAATTCGTAATTAACCATTTTCTGATTGAATGGATAAGCCGAGGTTTAATAAATCGATCAATGGGCGGGTCTACAAGAGCTTAAAGACCGATGAACATAAAAGAAGTCAAAGTAACTTAAATAATATTCTAAAAATGACGTCATGATTGACAAGTTCATCGAGATCAGTGATTTCTTAACCAGCTGAATGGGATTTAACTAGCAACTTTTTAAAAAATGAATTGATAAGTTTAATTGCTGATGATTAAGCTAATAGAGTTTAAAGTTGCAAATTAATTCATTTTCTTGTGTTATGAGGAATACACAAGACTCATTATTAGTGTGAAGTCATAAATTAGGCTCTGCATCCTTTTTTCAGCCTTAACAATGCTACGTACAATGTATTTTGTAGATGGGGTGTTGACAGTTTTTATGATTTTGCTAGAGAAAAATTGTAACGCAATTTAATTATTAAATGTGAAGATCCTGTTTTTCAAACAAATTAATTTTTGGCTTAGTAACAGTTGTTTATTTTCTAGGTCATCCAAACATATATTTAAAGAAACAATTCTTAAAAATCGTCATGTGAGAGGATATTCACTCATTACGTGAAATTATATTTCAGTTCTGATAATTAATATGCAGTGTTTTATATGAAAGTAAAGGGTTCTTTCTTGCAAAAATGTTTCATCAAAAAATTATTTTATTTTAAAGGTAGTTAAACATTGACAGGCCATTATATTCAGTTATTACGCAAATTTGTCCCAATGTAACATTAAAAAATGCAGCCAATCATGAATAAGGCAGAAAAGATGTCACATAAAAATACAAAGTGATAAGAAAAACAAAAAGTTTGATCATTTACTTCTACGGATTTTTGGCTCAAACCTATACTTAGATTGGAAGCTTTTAAATGCTTTAATTCTAGATTGTTTGAAAATCATATTTAATTGACATACCTATTTCAAAATTAAGTCCTTTATCTTTAGTTTATCTTACATTTGTAAATTTCTTCAAATATTTGATTGTATTAAAATTATAACTAAATTCATTGTTCTATGATAAATTGAGAGACAGAAAAGAAATAATTTTCCTACGCCACCGTTCTGTCAAAACTATAACCCCTGTTTGTTTTCAAAAACAGTAAACCATTTCTCTTTAAAGCTGTACAATTGTCATGAGGAAAGAAATATATGGTCTGATAACGAAACATGATTATTTTTTATGGAGATAACAAACAGTATTCCAGATCAAAAGTCCATAAAATAATATAAAATAGGAGCAGAGCAAACACGGACCTGCAAAACAACATACTAGGGCTGTTCAATAAATAATGTCCTGAACAATATATCATACATTACAGATATCATTATTGAATCTTTCATGAATTTATAACTTACAGTTTATGTGACCACTTTTCATCACATAGTTTCATCGTGAAAAGCTGGGAAACGAGGGCTTTTGGAGACACTGCATTATAAATGAATGGTAAAGAATCAGTAAACTAGAGTGAAGATAAAAGCTTCATTATAGCTGCCATAAAACTTGTTAAAATCCCAAAGAAATATTCACTGTAATATGTGACATTTACAGCAACCAATGCCTGTTTAGTAGACAAAAGAGCAGGTGGATTTCAATTTATAAAAAAATATATAATGGACATCAAAAATGGGTACCCTCCTTGCCAACAAAAATTATGTTCACCAATGTTTACCAAATTTCAACAAATAATATTTGATGATGTATTATTGACTTTAAGACACATAGCAATTTTTATAGACATCACATCGGGGGTAGTTTACACTGTTTTAAGAAACGTTTGACGGTAATAAAGCTTGGTACTCAAAGATCACACTATATTTTTAAAAATGAGTGAAAACGACAGAGTATACAAAATTCTTAACAATTATTTCAAAATATAAGTAATTGTAGTTATCCACGTTTGTTTTATTTTCAAACAGATATTGGAACATTATTCTATTGCTTAAATCCCTAAAATCAAAATTTACCATAAGATATACTTGAGGAAAATGGCGAATGTCTGACAAGAGCACAGGTATGCAAGAGCACAAAGACAGATTTTTATGTAATTTTCCTAAAAATTAGTGGTATTGTTGTTCAAATTCGTATTCGAAGAGACAGTTTAATTCCTGGAGGAGTCTAAAAAGTAATTTTTTTGCAAAAAAAAATCAAAAGGTTTTTAGGAAAAGGACCCAGAATCAGGGATCCACTACATTTAATTTCTTCAAGACAGCGTCCAAACCCGCATGCCATGAAGAGTAAAGGGGTTTTCGGGATAAACAGAAAGTAAACGTTTTTTCACATGAACAATATTCGCCAGATCTTTGACCTTTTGACTTGTTTCTATTTCCAAACTTGAAAAAAACACCTTTCAGAGGGAAGAAACAAGTCCAGGAAATCATTGGATCTGCCATTTTCCAGTATATTAAGGGTCATACCCAAAAATTAGTTCTACAACCAATCAGAAATTGGATATAAAATGTTACGGACATGTATTTTCCTTAAAAGAGATTAATTCGTAAAATCATGAAGACTAAATCATTGAAAAGCGTCATTTGCTTCTTTCTGAGCACCGAGGACATTATCTATTGAACAGCCCTCGTAGGTGGGATCAGGTACCGTGGAGGAGTGATCATCCCCTGCTGACCGGTCATACCCGCCGTATACTCCTTGTTATGATCTGGAAATAATGGAAAAACTCGTCGTCAGTTCAGTGTATAAATAATAGATTAACAATTAGTATGAAAAAAAAACGTCATTCAGCATTGGACTTAATGATAAATTACATTTGCTAACAAGGTTATTGTATCGACCTCAGAACTTACGAAATGATGATATTAAACGAGTCTTTTTGTTTCATCAACTTGTTTGTCAATAATTTACCTCGTTGTAGAAATTGTTTATATGTACAACATGCTCTTGCGTATCTAATCAACTGAGATATATGAACTCGGTGCATATGATGAAGGTATATTGCTGCATAAGTAAGAGTAGTTGACAATAGAAAAGTTGGAGGAAGTAATCTCGTTCACCTAAGTTATTAAGAGATATATGTAAGTATATTTTAAATGTTTCATCTTGTCAGAAACCAGGGAAGAATCCAGCCATAATGGTGATAGGAGGCAGTCATAGTGTTGGTTATCTGCTTCTTGAAGCTCTCGATGGTACTGGCTTCTTTAACATGATCTAACAGGTTGTTCCAATCCCTGATGGTCCTTGGAAAGAACGCAGTACAGTTAAGATAACAAATGGAAATATCAGCATTTTTTAAAATAAAAATTACATACTTTATAGGAATGGTCGATTCTTTTTAGGACTTCACTGATATAAAAAAATAGAATGTGGTTCAAATCTACATGTTGACGACATTTAGATTTTTATTTAGACTAGTCACTTGATGTTGAAATCACGTGATTTTAGCAATTATAATTGCAGTTTAGAGGTCATCTATAAATTTCAATACTGCAAGGGCATACCCAAGTTAAAAATCTTAGTTTAATTTATCATCCTTTTCAATACTATATGTAGTTTGTGACAAGTGCTGCGAATCTATATAGATTCCCTTATTTAATTGCGAAAAATTAATTTGTTGGACGGCAGGTTTAATATTTTGCTGGTCAACTACATTAAATTGAGCTATAATTAATTTATTTGCAAGATATAATGACACTTTTCAAATATCTTAATGGGTCTTGAGTTTATGTTTAAAACCTTGGCAAGATACATTGAGTGTATGCCCTTACAATGAATCGATTTATTAGGATCCTTCAATTACGTTTTCAATAATTCAACAAACACACGACAGTATCGCTTGTCCGGAGAATATACAGACAGTTTATAAATAATATAGTAAAATAGACGTCGCATCCTAGTAAACGGTCCTTTATTTAATTTCAGATAATATTTTATTTGAGAACAAAAGACATTTTTTTTGTAAAAAATGTGACTTAATCAGCCTCCCACTGTGTACAAACTGTGTCACTTTTGCAAGATAACGTCACATTGACAAATGCATTGCGATTGATGCATTGTTTATATATTGTTGTGTGTAGTTGAACAAACGCCACAACTGCATGTAATAGTAAGTTAAATATAGTCTATAACTATTCAGCAATTTGAAATAGCAAATATTTTAATTTTGTGGTATTTTGAAGACCTTATATTTTACTTTACGTTTTTTTTCATAGTGAAAATGCATACATTCTTTAAAAGTCATCTCTGCTCCTTGGAATGAAACCAATGAACTATGTACAAAGTTTTTGGAGGAAGAATGACTCTTCGAAAATTGTGAATTGCATGGTCCCTTGGTCATGGGTTCTGGTGTTAAGGCGGGGCTTAAATTAAAATATATTAAAAATGTATGAATTCTTTGAAATTCTTTTCCTTTGCCCCTGGATATTTATAACAATAATTTAAGTTTATATATTTATGATGAAGGAAGGTGCATCTAGCAAGATGGTGAATTTCAGGGCCTCTGGTTCAGGGGCACGGGGGGGCATATTCTTAAAATAAATCAATGCTTTCAATTCTGCTCTTTGGTATTAATAAATCATTTATGATGGAATAAAATTTATAATAAAATTTCCAAAATTTTGAAATATGTAGCCCCAGTGTCAGTGGTTCCTGTTGGTTGGGTGCACAGCTGGTTATAAAGTGGATATGCATTTCCTCTTTGTTATTCTGATCTACCCCCGGGTATTAAGTAACCAGAGTAAGCATACTAATTATATAATTATGATAAGCAGTAGTGTCTTTTTCAAAAATGTGAATTTCATGGCCTCTGGTTCAAAACACGAACCAAATTCAATTGTTGGAAAGATTTTACATGATACTCAGGTGACCTATAAGGCCGGTGGTTTTGTATTTACATGTACCCGGTATCTTGACCACCCTTCCTCCGTACATTGCCTAGTTTTTCTTAAGATCATAA